ATTGGTTCTTTGAGGGGAAAAAACTGATTAAAAAAGAAAAAAAAAAAGAATAATCTTTGGCAGGATTTATCAAGGAAGAGAGAGGGAGAGAGAGAGATCAAATCCAGTCCAGTGTCTGGAATGAAACAATGGGTATCACTATCGTTCCTGGAAACAATACAAAGATATGACCTATGCGATACAATTGAAAATGTTGATGTTCTGGAGAAATTCCTCAAAATACCCAATGATGCCAATACCAAAAGGACAGTGATGTTAGAATTATCTGAGGAAGATTTTACAGAAGCCATGATAAAAAAAAAAAAATGTTCTAATGATCAATGAGAAACACACTGGAGATAAGTGATGGAAAAGAAAATAGAAAGTTTTAGCAAAGTAATAGAAGCTATAAGGAACCAAATGGAAATTTTAGAAATAATTATAATACCTGTAACTCAGGATTTCTTTGATCATTAATCTCCTCAACTCTAGGATTATGAGATAACAGGTCTAAAAGGATTTGCACAGTGCCTGGCACATAGAAAGTGCTCCATAAAATGTAATGTTTCTCCTCTCATAACTGAGATGTCTGAGCAGGAGGACCAAGCTTCAGAGCATTTCCAGGCAGACAGACCTTCCTGCCTTGGATGCTCCATAAAGATGATGTCAGGAGGGTTTGCTTAGCAATTATGTTATCAGCCTCACAAACCAGTGTTGAAGGCATTCCCTAAGGTACTCCCTTCACCCCCACAGATCAATCTACATGCAGACCCCACTGTTGGGTTCTGAAGAATACAGTGGAAGCGTAAGAGGTACAATCAGAAAGGGAAGGTGGGCTTTAGTTTCAGCTGCCTCAGGTCATCTGGTGGGAAACCCCCCAAAGTGGGGTGGAAGCAACAGGGAGGGACTGGGCAGGGAAGAAGTTTTCTCTTCTTTCAAACACAGTACTGTTTATCGTAATAGTTGCTACAACCCCAGAAACGTGGAAGAAGGATCTTGCAGAATGGGTTCAAAGGGGTCTCCTTATTCCCCCAGAGACAGGCCCGGGAAAAGCTACACTTACATGGAGACCATGCTGACCTGTATGGATGGAGGAGCACTGGGGGCCAGGCCAAGATCAGGCACCGCCCCACAGTGGGTCACCACCATTGTTGGAATCCCCACCCTCTGCTGGGATGAGCAGAACTCCTGAAGGAGTTGGGTTTGCCTCTAGCTTCCCTTCTTCCTTTCCTTCCTTCCTAGCCGAGGACACAGCATCAAACACGCTCCCTTAGTTCATAGAACCGGCATGCACCCCTCACAGTGCCTGATCTCATCGTACCCTGCGGACAAAAGGAGACCCACTTCACTTTACAGGTGTCCCAAGTTGAGCCTCAGAGCAATCAAGTGAATTACCCAAGGGAGTTCTCAGACGAAGGACTCATCCCACCTACGTATGTATATATAGTAAAAAATCCTACGTCCATCCTGACACCAATACTAATGAGCATTGTTATTACCATTTTCGAGCATCTCGTGTACGCCAGGTAAAAGACTAGGTAGCTGAATTCCCTGAGCTCATTCGTCCTTCAGAAGGACACCAGGGGTAGAGGAGGCTGCCCCGTCAGACAGGCTCAGAGAAGGCAATAATGTAGGAGATCATACTGAGTGCCTGGCATTGTTCTAAACACTTCAATGTGCATGAAGTCACTCTGTCTTCCCAACAATCCCATGAGCATGTTCATTTCTGAGATGTGATAACTGAAGTTCAGAGACATCAGGTAATCTGTCTGAGGTCACACAGCTCGCAAGTAACAGAACTGGTGTTCAAACCAAGCCTTCTTACCACTGTTCCATGTTTCTGGCAGCACGGGTGACTTCCCCAAGGTGCCACATCTAGGAAGTGTCCGAATCAGATTGAAACCCCTGCCCAGCTAAAAACCAGAGTCTTCCCACCCCGTTATCCTGCCCAGAGGAGGGCTGGAGGGAGGCTCTGGGTCACTTGGGCAGCCTCCTTCTCTCCAGCTAAGAGACAGCTGTCTTGCCAATCAACCCCCAGAAACAGGATGTGTGGGAAGCAGAGCTCTCTAGAGTGGCATCAGGCCTGGTTGGGCTGACAAAGCTGGGACCAACCTCCACCAACCTTCTTTGCCAGTTTTTCTGTCTGCCTCCTGCTGACTGAAACCGGCCCCCGACTCTCATTGTCTCCCTCGGCCCCCACTGAAAATGCCGAGTGCCAGGTGGAGAAGGAACTTGGAGGGAACCTGGAGGGGTCAGAGGAGCTGGTGAGGAGAGGGGTGCTGGGGAGTGGTTCTGGAGTTGTGGGGCAGGGGTAGCCTAGCAACCAGTGGCTTACGTGGTCACAAAGCCAACAGGCTTGCCCACAGAACCAGTGAGCCTGCCTGCCTATTGATGTGTCCTCTCACTCCTTTCTGCTCAGGCAGTGGGGACTTCTCATACACGGACCGTAGCAGGCACCTGCCCCGGTGAGTCCACCACGGATGTCTCCCGGGGAGGAAATGGACACTAGAGCCAGACAGAGGGGCCAGGGGAGGGCCTCCAGAGGCCGAGATGCCGAAAGGGAAGGTCTGTCTTAGGATGGGTGTGAGTGTTTGGACTCCTTGTGTCCAGCTGGTTGGGGGCCAGGCAGAGAGGGGAGTGAGGACAGAAGCAGACACAGCAGGGCCCGGCCTGTCCCACTCTGGAAAAGACAGGCCTGCTTCAGTCCCTGTTGACCTCTACTGCAACTGTGGGTCATGACCCATTTGTGGCTTATAAAATCAATGTAATTGGTCACGGCTAACATTTGCGAAATGAAAACAAGAAGTAGGATGAAAATAGTGCTGTGCATGCTATGTGGCAAGGGTAAGGATTGCTCTAGAATGTTCTTGCTTCAGTTTCACATACACAGATGTGTGTGCACGTGTGTGTGTGAATCAGGATCTAGGAAGGAGTTTCTTAGTATGATCACAGTCAAAAGCATTTGAAAGTCTTTGTTCTAACGAGTACTTTTTCCTGTAGGCAGATGGGTTTGGGCTTCCAAATGGCCTGTCCTCAAGCCTGCAGCATGTGAGTGCTCTAGACCCAGCCCCCATAACCAAGGATGTCCAAAGCTTCCTTCCAAGGAAGTTCTGCCGACTGTTTTGCTCTTTAGAGAAGAGACCAGGAGACTTAAAGGCAGGACGCCTGAAAGTCTCCCCTTCCCTGAACTCAAGGAGTGCTTGAGAGGCTGGCCCTGAAGTTCTCTGGGTCCTTTGCAGATTTTGTGACTGAGAGTTCATTTTCAGAATGCACTGGCTTCCTGTCCCAACCCCATCACTACCCTGCACTTTGGAGAGATATAGACAGATAGATCTAGAGATCTATATACTGTATGCGTGTGTACATGTACGTGTAAATGCACATGTGTATGTGCATGTGTGCTCACGTGTATTTTTGTGTGTACCTGTATATGTGTGCTATATATGTGCCTGTGTATGTGTGTACATATGTGTGTACATGTACGTGTACATGTGTATAGGTATGTGTATACAAGTGTATATGTGTGTACATGTATGTGCATGCTGTGTGTATATGTATATGTGCATGTGTCTATGTATGTGTGTCTATGTAAATGTGTATGTGTATATGTGTACATGCATGTGTATATGCGTATACTGTATGTGTGTGCACGTGTGCACATATATGCATGTGCATGTGTATGTGTGTTCGTGTGTATTTGTATGTGACCGTATATATGTGCTGTGTGTACATGTACCTGTATGTGTGCATATGTATATGTATGTTATGCACATGTATATGTACGTGTATGTGTGTGTATTGTGTAGATGTATGTGTGTATGTGTGTATATGCATGTGTGTATGTCTGTGTATATATAAGCATGTGTGCACGTGTGTGTGTACATGTATGTATACATGCACATACTATATAAATGTGTACATGTGTGTGCTTATGTACATGTGTATGTGTGAGTGTTCACGTGTATTTGTATGTGTACATGTATATCTGTGCGTGTACTATATGTGTATATGTACGTGTATGTGTATATGTATGTGTGTGTATATATTATGCATATATGCATATATATAGCTATATTCAGGTCCATAGATTTAGACCAATCACAATTCTTTTTTTTTTAACATTTTTTCTATTTATTTAACAGGGAGAGGCACAGCAAAAGAGGAAACACAAGCAGGGGGAGTGGGAGAGGGAGAGCAGGCTCTCCTCTGAGCAAGGAGCCCGATGCGGGGCTCCATCCCAGGACCCTGAGATCATAACCTGTGCCAAAGGCAGAGGCTTCACCCACTGAGCCACCCAGGCGGCCCCAATCATAATTCTTGACTTCAACACCTATCATCTTACATCCATGTCACCGAATTAGCTTATTTCATTTTATAATGAGCACCGACCGGCAAAGGCGCCTCTCAAGCCAAGAACTAGAACAGCACCACTAACAATCTAACCCGCCCCCTCCCATCCCATCCCCCCTCCCTTACTTTCCTCAGAAATAGCCACTAGCTGAATTTTGTGCGTACTGTTTTCTTGCTCCCCCGCCCTTATTGTATCACATTTATGATACTTTTGCTTGCCTTTGAACTCTACCTCTAAAAAGGAATCTCGGGCTCTGGGGCTTCTGGGACTCGCTTTCCTTGACCTCACATTATATTTTTAAGATTCACCCATGTTGTTCTGCGTAGCTGTGGTTCATTGTCATGGCAATATGATGCTCAATTGTCCACATGCAGCACAGCTCATCTGCCCGTTCCTGTCACCATCGGACATTTGGGATGTCGCCAGGTGTTGGCTAATTTGCATGATGTTAGTCTGAATATTTTTACATATAGCCCCCGTGGTACCACCGCAAGGGCCTCCCTGGGTACATGTCAGGGAGAGGAACGGCTGAGCGCTCTGTGCCAGTTCAACATGCCAATGTTCAATTTTACAAGATATTGTCAATTTTTCTCCCCCAAGTGTGTGTTCCGGTTTAGACTTCCACCATCAGTGTATGAGAGTTCCTGCCGTCCATCTCCAGCACTAGTAGTAGGTGCACTGCCCTTTATTCTGTCAGAAAGGCTACGATGGCTACACAAGTGAAGACCCAGTTGGCTGAACATCCACTAATGACGTAAGACCCCTCTTACGTGTGCCCCCCCGCTGCTGACCAAGGGGGTGGTGGAGGCAGGGCGGGGTGGGAGACAATGGTGGCCAGGGGGAACCCAGCAGACTGAAGGGCTTCGACTTCCGCCGCCCTCAGCCAGGTCCCCATGGGTTCCTGAGCCTGAGTTTAGCACAGGTCACAAACCGGGTCCCTCCCTGGTGGGAGAGGACATGGTGACGGGGAGCTGAAGCACCTAGTACTAGAATTCCTGGGGTTTCTGAGGGGTGACTTCCTCCATCACTTGGGGTAGGGGACCACCAGGTAACTGCAAATTTCAGAGAAGGTTTGCTTTATTTCTTTAAGCCCCAGATCCCTTAGAGGCCAATCGAGGACGGCACAGAAAACTCAGGGGCCTGGTCAGCGAAATTCTCAGAGGGTCCCGGGGCAGAGCACCTTGCTTAGCATATCCAGAGTCCGTCTCTTCTCCAGAGGGCCTCCCTTCAGCCGGGGCCAGCGGGAGAAGGGAGTGCAGACAGCGCGCAGGCAGGTGGCCCCCCCAGGCCCCAGGCGGAGAGCACCCCACCTTTGGAACCTTGCTGGACTGACCTCGAGCTCCTCCTCCAGAGGCAGGGCCCGGCATCCTCAGCGGAGGGCAGGGGCGCAGGGCGGAGGACAGACAACCTGAGAAGCTTGTCTCCAGCAAAGCAGAGCAAGAGCTTGACGCTTCCCTGCAGCATTGCGACTCTGAAGGCTACCCCATCAGCTCTGCGTCTCCTGGGAGGGTCCCCCCCCCCCCCCGGAGAAGGACATGCTGGCGCCATCTGGCCTCCATGCTCCAGCTTTAGCCTCTGGATGCCTGGGCCAAGACTGCCTGGGGGGACGGGGGCCAGGGGGCTGCCTGTAGCTGGCTTCTCCTGGGCTGCCAAGAGTCAGCTTGGGGACAGGCCCTTGCTGTGTCTGTGTATATAAGGTCCCTTTGCTTCTACCCAGGTATTTGGATGAGTAGGTGGGTCTGTGGCTTCTTCCCTGTGGCTTGACAGAGGGTTTGTGGGAGAAAACTGAGGTCTCGAGAGATTCCATCTGAATTCTCTCAAATAGATTCGAGCTCCCTGCGAAGGCATCTTAGGAAGACAGGAAGCTCCCTGAGACTGGATTGTACCAGTTGGGAGTGGACCCCGGGAGAGGCCGGCTTTGGGTGCCAGGGGAGTGGGAGTGAGATCCTGGAAACCCGTTTCAGAGTGTCTCGGTAATAGACTCCAGATAAGCCCCGAGCTCCAAGCCGGGTGGGCACTGCTGCCCGGAGGCTCCATTAGCTTCTCCTTGATCTTCTTCAGTCCAAGGGCTGAGCCTGAAAAGAAGTCAGGACACAGGCCGAGGAGCCACGGGGACGGCAGGCCGCAGAAAGAACTGATGATCCCAGGGATTGTGGATTTCCAGCTGATCCAAACGGCACTGAGGACCCCCAGGCCCCAAACCCCTGGGGCCTACCGCTTTGGCCGCCTCAGCCACCACTCCTTCTTCTCCCGACACCACCCGCACCCACAACGTGTGACCCACATCCAAGGTAGACCTGGGGTGGGTAGGGGCCCGGCTGGAGGTGGTGGGGCCATCTTAAAAATGGGAAAGGGAAGTGTCAGCCCCCATTTCCAAGTTGAGACCCGGAAAGGGTGGGGATTTGGTCGGGGTCAGAGAGCTCCTTGGCCACTTGCAAGCACTTGGTCAAGCAAAGACTTGACCCAGGGAACAGGCTCCAAGGCTGAGTGTCTAGTCCTAGACCATGTTCCTCATTGCCAATCCTCCCATTTTAGGATTCAGGGAAAGGGATAAATGTTTTGCCCCAGAACTGTACTCTGTTCTGAAACTCAAGCCAATTAATCCACTTAGCCATCTATTGAGTGTGAACTACAGGTCAGGTACATTTTAGGCGCTGGGGATATGACAGTGAATAAGACAGTCCCTGACCCCACAGAGTTGACTCTGGTGAGAAAGGATAGGAAACAGATAAGGTGTCAGGGTGTAGAAAGCGCCAAGGCTCTAGAGGGGAGGAAACCTCATCAATAGCATGGCCTTTGGGCAAAGAACTAAAGGGATATTGTGGATATTGGGGGGAAAAATGTCCCGGGCAGTGGGAACAGCAAGTGCAAAGGCCCTGCGGCACACATCCTGGCTCTGTTAGAGGGTCAGTAAGGAATCCAGTGTGGCTGGAGCAGAATAAGGAAGGGTAAAAAGGAGATGGGCCAGAGAGGTGATGGGGGTCCAGAGCACGTGGGCCTTGGAGGTCACCCACTTACCATTGAGCCATCTCACTGAGGCAACAGGAGCCATGGGAAGGGGCAAAAGCAAAGAAGTGACAGGAGTGACATGTTGGCCGCTGTCTGGAGGGTGGCATGGACCAAGGAGGTAGCAGTAGAAGACTGAGAAGCCCTGCTCTAGAGACCTACAGAGGTGAAGCCAACAGGATTTGCAGACTGGTTAGAAATGAGTGAGAAAGGCAAAGAGTGGTCAAGGATGACTCCCAGGTGCTGGGCCTGATGGCTAGAAAACCAGAGTCACATGGACTGAGGCAAAAAGAGCCCAAAGCAAGGGCTCAAGCCGGGTGGAAGGGGGGTTGGGAATTTGGTGAGGACCTGGGAGATGCAAGACTGCACATGACTTTCAGGCACGGGGGTGGAAGGGCAGAGTAAGCAGCTGGGCCCAGAGTTCAGGCAAGAGACCCTGATGTGGCCATTCTAGGAGGGACGCCATTGGTGAGAAGGAAGGAGCAGAGGAGGTGAGGAGTGGCCTGCGAGTTAGAAGGGACCAGGAGAATGAGGGGACCCCTGGCCAAAAAGGAGAATGTTTCTGAAAGGACAGAGTGAGCTACCATGCTCGGTCCTACAAGGCTGGTCCTTAAAGCTTCACGGTGGACGATAATACATGGTCAGACTGTAAGGCATCAGGGTCCTTGTGTGTAAGCAGCTCGCCATATCCCCCAGGCTGCCTGGCACAGGCTGACAGATGGCAAGGAGTTTTCTCCAGGGGGGTCTGGCTAACTCTTACCACTCCCTGTGATTTGAGCCCAGGCCCCTCTGGTCACAGACTGTGGCTTAGCGCCGCACCCCCATGCCTTCCTCTTTAAGCTGTCTGCCTCTGTGTGTTCACACCTGCAGTTCCTTGCTCTGTCCTAGAACATCAGAAAGACCCCAATACTAAGGTCCCAGAAAGCCTGGGTTCCTAGCTCACCTCCACCTGACTCGCTGGGTGAGCCTGTCACTGTCTATTGTAATGTCCCTGTGGGTAGGGCCTCCGTGGCTGCGGGATCTCCCAGCTCCAGTGATCTATGGGCTTTTGTGGTTACTGGAAGAAGCGGGTTCAGTGCTCTCCCTGCCCACCGCCTCCCAGTCTCCCAGGCTTCCTAGGGTCCACCCAGGCTCTCCTCCTCACGGCCTCTCACCCTTCGCAGATCTCACCGGGAAGCCCGTCTGTGTCGTCAGAGACGAGTTCTCTCTGGCCCCCGTGCCTCGAGTCACACTTTTATCCCGCTGTCTGATGGGGATGCCTGGCATCTCTGTCCCCGTTGGAGACCCACAGTCCAATCGGGAGCCTCAGCTTTCCTCTGGTGTGTACTTGGGCAGCAACCCCTCTCTCTCCAGGTGCCTGGGAAGGAAAGAGCTCTTAGGTTGGTGGGGTCCCGTGGGGTACCCTAGATTTTTCCACATTTCCTCAGGCAGCAGCATCTGCATTCTTCCCCACCCCCTCCCCAGGTCCTAAGAAATATGGCCCCTACTCAGATTTGAGGTATTTGAGGAGTAATAACCATCAGAGGAGAGGCAGGGGGGGGCCACAGTCACGTGACTGACAGCCAGAGACAGGAATGATACTGGAAATGTTGAGTAGCTTGTATGCTCCGTCACTGGGCCGTCGGAGCAGACAGCCAGAGATGGAGTGGCAGCTCTCAGGCGGCCATGGCCCTGCCCAGGCCCTTGCCCCTCCCTGCGGGCCAAGGGGAAGCTCACCGGTGGGTGTGGAGAGAGGCCCCAGGGAGGAACCAGGACAGTGGTGCAGAGCAGAGAGGGTTCCGAGGCTCTCTGTCGCCAGCCTGCTCCCAGACCAGCTTCGCCAGGAACAGGTGGATGTCTGAGTGACTGGTACAGCACAGACACTGGGTCTCTGGCCTGGCCTCAGTGTCCGAAGGAGGCAAAGCTGGATTAACCCGCACACTTCCTAGCACAGGGAGCCAAGCATCTCCAGCATCCCCCAGTGAAGCCACAGGCTAGGGTATCAACGTAGTAGTGACTGCACCAAGGTGCGGGGGGGGGGGGGTTCCTCCTCCCTCCTTCAAGGTCACTGCCTCCCCATTTCCCTGTAAGACATGAGGCTGGGAAGGCTGAGGAGGTGACCAGGCGCTTCCCCCCAGTGCTGGGTACCACAGAGAGGGCGGGGAGGAGGACCCCACATATCAGCTGGCAGTGTCTTCCCAGAGACCTGGAAGAAGGAGTTGAAGGACCTGGCCTCCCGGGTGGCCGTCTTCACCAAGGAAAATGAGCTGAAGAGCAAAGAGGTGGGTGTGGATCAAAGGCGCCGTCCGGGAAGAGATCAGAGGGTCCATCTCTTTGTAACAAAATCCCTCCCGAGGGGCTTCCCTCCTCATGGACAGTAAAGCCCATGTCCACAAGAGGTGGGGGGCTGTCGGCCCAGGGAGGAGGGGGCTACAGAACACCGGCCTGAAGGGGGAAGGTCGCGGCAAGGGCTTGGAGGAGAAGAGAAGGTGGCTGGGTGGAGAAATCCAGGAAGGGTTCGTAACAGAAGGGGGATGTGAAGAAGTGGACAAGGGAGGCGTCCTTAGGGGAGGCCTGCAGCACAAGACCGCAGAAGCTGGGAAAGAAAGGCAAGACATCCTTAGAGACCGGGCTGACGTGCAGGGATACGTGGGCAGCCATGGAGGGGGGAAGGGGGGAAGTGTGAGAAGGGGCCGACTTTGAATGTGGACAAAAAGAGGAGCTTGTTCTTAATTTCTGAACTTACTGTAGTGCCGGATCTCATAAGGAGGGGAGATTCACTGAAGGATTTCAAATAGGATGGGGTGACCTCATGGGTGCCATTTGCTGGTAATTCAGTAAAGACAATTGGAGGCAGCTTGGAGGTAGCTAGAAAGGGACTGAGGCAGGTGTGGCCCTTGGGACGGACTCTGGCTCCGCCCTTGTCTGGGGCAACAGAGTTCTCCTGATTGCTTTGTGGCTAACTCAGTGCAATGCTCACAGCAACTCAGTTAAGCAATCTGGGTCTCACTTTTCTTATCTTGAAAATGGGGAAAAGTATAGGGGTGCCTGGGTGGCTCCGTCAGTTGAACGTCCAACTCTTGATCTCAGGGTCCTGGGATGGAGCACCACGTTGGAGCTCTGTGCTCAGCAGGGAGTCTGCTTCTCTCCCTCTTCCTCTGCCCCTCCCCTGCTCACACACAGGAGCTCTCTTGATCTCTCTAAAATAAATAAACAAGTAAACAAACAAATAAAATAGGAAGTATGCCCCAGTCTACTGGGTTGCAAGGGTAGGAGGTCCCAGGCCTCGTACCCACAGGCCTGGCTCAGGAGGGTTTCCCAGGGCAAAGAAAAGATGCCAAGTTCTGGGGGACAAACTTGGGAGCAGCTGACCTGGGAGTTAAGGTAGGCGATGGGGACCATGGCCCAGGATACTGCTTTCAAATCTATGATGGGCTTGGGGGAGGGGAGGGAAGGAGGGTCTCCCTAGGAGGAAGTACGAGGACTTCAGAGGACCGCCAGGGGCTCCAGCATTCAAGTTCCAGGAGAAGGAATTGGGCTATAGAGGGGCCTCTGGCTGGGGAGAGGAGTCTAGAACAGGGCGGGCTGGCCTGGTCATCCTCCCAGTTTCCTGCAATCTGGTGATGCTGGGATTTCAGGAGGGTGGGAATGCCCTAGAGGTATGACTGGGCCCCTTCTGCCTTCTTTCTTGAGGCCCCCCCCCTGCTCGCGCTCTCTCTCTCTCGATCTCTCGATCTCTCTTGATCTCGCTCGATCTCTCTCTCACTGCCTGGAGTCTCTGGCCACTTTGCCCCCAGCAGAAGGAGGAACCTCAGCGGGAGCAGGGGGCAAAGTACTCAGCCGAGACCGGGAGGCTCATCCCCACTTCCACCCGAGCCGTTGGTCGCCGCCACTCCCGCCAGAGCCCCCGGATTTATCCTTCTGGCAAAGATGGAGGAGTTCAGACCATTGTCCTGCGGGATCAGGAGCTGCTGGTGAGGCCCTGGGAACGAACGCTGGGAGCTACGGCCCGATGGAGGCCTGGTCTGAGGGCTGAGAACATGGGGGTTGCTGCTCCCAGGCTCCCAGCAATCCCAACTAGGAGCTTAAAAACTTCCAAGTGTGCTTTAAAGTGTGGCCTCTCGGGGCGCCTGGGTGGCTCAGGTCATGATCTCAGGGTCGTGGCATGGACCCCCACTTTGGGCTCCATAATGGGGTGGAGCCTGCTTGGGATTCTCCCTTTTCCTCTCCCTCTGCCCCTTCCCCCACCTCTCCCTCTTTAAAAAAAAAGGAAAAAGGCAGCGTGGCCTCTCCTGGGGACACATGTACCTGAGACCGTCAGCCTCAGGAACTCCCGACCTGGGAGTCCAGCCCCTGGATCCAACCCCCTGTTGCATCCAGGTTTCTGTGGGAGGCTCTCCCTCTCTTTGAAGGCCTTCCCCGCTCAGGGCTTTAGTTCCATGATCCACCCACGCCCGGAGCATGAACGTCTTGTCAAGAGGGGCTGTTCCAGCGGGGGCGCTGGAGGAGTTCAGGAAGGGAGCCGCTGTGGCTGAGTGGCTGGAGAGGAAGGTCCTGCCTAGTGTTGTCCCCAAAGCATGCCCTGCTCTGCCTTGGGCTGCAGCCAGCCAGGCCAGTCCCAGCACGGTCTCCCACACTTGGAGGGGTTTGGTCTCTGCCACAGTGACGCACAGACTCACCCCCACCCCCCGCCCTGCCTGCACAAGTTTCCCAGTCAAGGCCTGAGATGAGTCCTTGCCTCTTGCCGGTGGCTTAAAGCTATCTCGCCGTCCCTTTCCAAAAGCATCCATGTTCTCCAGAAAAGGTTACACACAGAGCCAGTTTCTTAACACCCCCCCCCATGACCAGCGCTTCCAAGCCTGCAGTCCTTTGGAGAACTGCACGGTCGACTGAAATGGATAGTGTAGGCAGGGCCCAGAATCCCCATTCCACAGATGGCAAGGCTAAGACCCTGCCAGGTGACATTCTGTGGCCCAGGCCCCCAGAGAGGGAGCGGCGCAACCCGGACTAGAACAGCACTTTCTCCACCATAGGGCGGCCTCACCTTGCCTGGAATTAGGTTCTCGGGTCCTGTGGGGAGGGGGTCCAGGGCAGGTAAGTTGGACGCGGAGAACGGAGAAGGGCCCAGGGGCAGACCCAGGGTGGGAGTCACTGCAACAAGTGGGTATCTGGGACCGAGGGGGTGCCCTAGGCGGCAGAGGCCTGGGAAGATTCTCAGCCCGGTTCCCACTCTGCTGAGGATGAGGCAGACTTGCTGGGGACTGACAGGCCCCCCCAGGTCCTGGGAAGACCAACTGTCAAGCACTGAGGGGACCCCACTTTCCTAGGACTCCAAGGGTTCCACCTGCTACCGCGAGCCCCAACTCCAGCCGGCCATAGCTACAGCCGCCATCAGCAGCTCGGCCTAGGGAGCCCCCGTAGCCCGTTCGACACAGAGCTGGCTCTCCCCCGGATGACACTTGCCTGGAGAACACAGGGGGAAGAGGGTCGGAAAGTAGCAGTGACGCCCGAGGCCGAGGAAGCGGCTGAGTGTGAAGTGCGCACGCCACTGGGCCAGACGGAGTCCCAGGTCGGGCAGTCTGCGGAGCCAGCCAGCCCTGAGCCGCAGCCCGCCCACTCCGATCACCCCACCTCTATGCTAGCGTCGCCAGACCCTGGGAGCTCCAGGGAGGGGAGGCCTGTGGGGTTCCTGAAATCCCCACGCCCAGGACCCAGGGATCCGAGACTCGGTGCGTCTCTGAGAGGCCACGCGGCCCGCTCACACTCTGCCCTTCCAGTGAGGGACTCTGGGGCACCATCAGCCCACATGGGGTTCAGGGAGGAGGCGTCCACACACAGGGTTCAGAAGCTTGGTTCTGCCGCACTCTCCTGGATGGGTGTCCTCAAGACTCTTCCTCCGGGACTGGTGGGACAGAAAGTGCTTTGTAAAGTGCGAAGTCACGGGGCAGGGACCTTGGTGGGGATCAGTGGAGCCAAGTATGTGGCTCTGGGAGCCCACGTTGTGGGAGAGGGGCCTGTGCTGCCGGCTGGGACGTGCCTACCAGACACGCTGACCCGGGGCCTGTCCTCCTGCCTGCAGATCCTGGAGCTCCTTTGTCAGATCCTGCAGACAGACTCCTTGAGCGCCATCCAGTTCTGGCTCCTGTACGCTCCTCCAAAGGGTGAGGACACGGCCGGTGCCCGGGGCGTTCTCGGACTGGAGGCTGTTGAGGGCCTTGTTCTCTGGATGTCACTCGGCTCCCACCCAGATCCATCCCCCTGGGCTGCTGCTGCTTTTTGGAGCCCCAAACTAGCCTTTTCCAGCAGGACAGTGCCCCTGCTCCCTCCTCCTGCTCCCTCAGCAGGATTTCCACCCCCCTGCTTCTCAGAGGGGGCTTCGGGCTGACCACCACCCTGGACACCTGGCAGGGAGAAGTCCAGAGCTGTCTTCAGCAGACACCCGCCGCTGTGGGAAACATGCACATACAGGCACAGCATATGCACAGGGACACATGAGCGGACGCACATGCACACACTGGGATGGTGGGTGGAAGGTGTATCCAAGTGGGGGGGTTGAGGAGTGTTGATGGGAGCTGGAGGGAGTGGGGGAGGGGAGGCGGGGAAGGAGGCAGGTCCCCAGGGGGCTTTCCAGAGAGAGCCCGGAAGCATGGTGGCTGGGCCAGAGGGGGCCAAGAACAGGTACGGGCATGTGACCTTGCAGTGAGAGAAAGTGGGGAAGGGTTGGGTGTTCTCCACACATATGGGCCAGGACAGAGAAAGCCCCCCCACCCAAAAGGGGACCTGGACGCAGAATGTCAGAAGGTTAGAGAGAGCTGTCCTGGGTCAGGGTTGGGCAGAAGAGCTGGAGGCCCTGCTTCCAGCCTGTCCCTTATGGGGACAGGACAGCATGGGTCTTGCCACTGAAGACCGTGCCCCCCCCCCCCCCGGCTATGCTTGCAGAGAAAGACCTGGCCCTGGGGCTCCTGCAGACAGCGGTGGCTCAGCTCCTTCCACAGCCCCTAGACTCTCTCCCGGTGGAAAAACTTCTCCATCAGCTCCACGAAGTCCAAGAACCTTCTCAAGAGAGGCAACAACCACCCTACAGGTGGGCTCCACACCCCTCACCTGCCCCCCTGCTCCCAGAGCTGCTCCCTCACATTCATCCACCTGTCCTCCCAGGGGAGGCTGGGGTGGTCTGAAAAAGGGATCTGGGTGCTGGCCTCAGCCTGGGCTCACTGAGCCTGTGCTGGAGGAGGAGAAGGCCCAGCCCCTCCCCTGGGGATCCCCAGATCAGCCTGTGCTACAGCCCAGGCTTCCGTGGCTGGCTCTGGGGGATGCCCTAGGGGCGCCCTGTGTCAGCTATAGCAAGACAAGGGCCAGAGGAGCCACATGGAACCCTTCTGCTCTCGGTCTTTGGGAAGACAAGTAGAGAAGGAAAGCTAACAGGCAAGCAGAAGTCCCTTACCGGGGTGTTACGTGCCTCCCACGGCCGAAGGACACAGGGAAAGGGGAGAGTAGGGAAGTCCTCACAAAGCAGGTGTGTAGGGCCAGGTGTCAGCGATGGATCTGGCAGTAATACATGCCCACTACACTGCCTGACCCTGGCAGATGTCTCACGTATCTGCAGCCCACACTACCATCTGTGGAGGCAGTGGTACACCCCCATTTTACAAATTGGAAAACTCGGCCTAAGCCACTGCTACATGGAGGTCCAAAGTCACCCGGGGGGTCCACCCCAGAGCTGGGATTAAGCCTGGGGCTAGTCTCACTTCCCAGCCCAGTAGCACGCAGATTTGCAGGAGACCTTGTGAAAAATGCAGATTCTGGAACATTCTAACACAGCACGTTGGGGATGAACCAGGGGCTGTGTCATTTTGACAGGCCTCCCGGAGTTTTTCCAGTAGAGCTCGGGGAACGCTGCTGGGATTGGTAGAACTAGAAGGAGCCGATGAGAGAGGGTGGGGACAGTCAGGAAGGGAAGGCAGGAATGGCTCACTCTAGGGAATGCTGAGTTTGAGGGTGGTTGCAGCTTGGGGGCTGGGGCTTGTGCTCATTTAGGTTTGAGGGCCTGGGTTCTCGCTCTGGCCCTGCACTGGGTTCTCAGGTGTCTCCCTGGAGCACTTCCCTCCCCGCCCCAACCACCCTGCCACTGTGCCCCAGTGGGCTCCGGCCTCACCTTCCCAGCCTTATCTTTCTGTCTGTTACAGCCAATCCCTGAAGAAGATAAAGACACCGTCCCTACCCAAAGGCGACAAACCAGGTAAGATCCCAGGCAGCAGGTCATCCTGGGGGCTCCCCGAGGCCCACCCTGGCTGTATGCCCGGGGGATCCAAGGACCCTGGAGATAAGGCCCTGTCCCAGGAAGCTGCCCATTCTGTCCATTCATCTCTCCACTCATTCAAGAGGCTTCCTTAGCAGCTGTAAGCTAGGCTCTGGGGAAGAGTCCAGACGGGCTTCCATGGCCACGGGGCTTATGAGGAGGAGGGCAGCCAACATAAACATCGGAGAGGGCCAGGTGCCATAAGGGAAAAAAAAAGGTAAAGTGAGGGACAGTAGGGAGGACTGGCAGGGTGGGGAGAGGGCTCCTTAAGCCGAACAAAAGGTAGGATCCAGCCCGATGTGGGTCTAGGGAGAGCCCAGAAGTAGGGCTCTCACGTGCTGGTGTGTGGGTGAAATCACACATAGGCCAGGGTGCCTGGGGCCTTGTGGGTCAGGACAGAAGTAAGAAATGAGATGGGGTAGGTGGGCGGGACCGGTGGTCCCACGCAGAGGGCGTGGGGGTGCCCTGGAGCCTTATGAGCAGGACCTGAGGGGGACCCCTGGCTGCCCAGTAAAGAATGGACTGTCGGGGGCCAGGGGGTGGGGGAGACCAGGGAGGAGGCTGCAGCATCATCCTGGGGCCTTTGGCAAGGGCTGAAGAGGACAGCTACCCACCATGTATAGTATTCTCCCCCACTAGACTGTAAGGGATCCTAAGGGGGCTGGCTGTCTTGCTCTCTAGGTATTTTTTGTCTGGATGGAGAAAGGGAGGGGGAGGTGAAGCTCTGAGAAGGGGGTTGGCTCCTTCCAGGTCCCCAGCAGAGCCCAGAGCAGAATCTGGCCTTGACCCACATCTGCCTGGGGTCTTGTGGGGAGAGCAGGTCCACCCAGGTCTCCTGAGCAGCTCCCAGCTAGGGGCCTGGCCCCTCCCTGTCCTCTCCTGACTCACCTGAAGGATGTCTTCCCTTCTCCCAGAGTATATCGGAAGAGCACAAGTTCTTCGGATGCATTCAAGCCAGATCGCAGAAGAGAGAGCCTCACAGCCAAAGGCAGAATGCTGAGTCCGAGTCCCTTTGCCCGCCTTGCTCAGGAGCTGCCCCCGGGCTTGAGGCTGTTCTCAGCCCCACCATCTCAACAGCAATACCGACTTGCCTATCACACGGAGCCCATTAAAAGGCTGCCTTCCCTTTAGGAGGACAGTTCCACTCTCCCCTCTGTAGTGGCTCTGTGCTTGGGGGCTGGGTGATTCCAGGAGCTGGGATGGGCTGTGGAACGGTCCCATTCCCTTGGAGAAAGTCTAAGCGGTAGAATACAGCACTTAGTGTGTAAGTGGTGTTCTATGTTCCTAACGCGTTCTATGTTCCTAAGAGTTGATGGGCAGCCCAAGGAAGAAGTTCTGTCCCTTCCGAGCCAAGACACACAGGGTTCCAGGGAGGCTAGAGCAGAGGTCAGGAACCCACGGGCCTCTGGAAAGTAACCATCCATACCAACACTTGAGTTCCTTGCAGTACCATATTCGATTCTCGCAAAAGTTCTGTGCAGCAGACTATGAGTAGCATCACTCCCATTTTACAGATGAATACATTGAGGCTCAAACAGTGAATAACTGGGCGCCTGGGTGGCTCAGTGGGTTAAGCCGCTGCCTTCGGCTCGGGTCATGATCTCAGGGTCCTGGGATCGAGTCCCACATCGGGCTCTCTGCTCAGCAGGGAGCCTGCTCCTTCCTCTCTCTCCGCCTTGCCTCTCTGTCTCCTTGTGATCTCTCTGTCAAATAAATAAATAAAATCTTTAAAAAAAAAAAAACAGTGAATAACTTGTCCAAAGCCACACAGTAAGTGGCAGAGCCAGGCCCAAAATCCAACAAGTCTGGCTGGGGAACCCCCGCTCTCCCCCACCGTGCTCTCCTGCCTTCCAAACAGCTACGTGCCAAAGGTGGCTGCAGAATGATGGTTGGCAAGATCAAGGAGGAAAGAGACCTTCCATAAATGGGACCCAGCTGGGGTTTTGCTATCCTTTACCATCTAGAGAAGGTGGCCTTTGATGCTCTGGGAAGTCCAGTGTTCCTTGAGATGGCTGCAGATTCTGTGGAAAGCCAGGATGGGGAGACGTGGGAAGAAGCATTGGGGTTCCACAGTGTCCTGGCCACCTGTGGCTCTGAGCTCCTACTTCCACTAAATCAGGTCCCTGGACTGTGGCTCCCTCCTGTGCTGGCAACACAGGTCCAGCTCACAGCAGCTCAGATGGATTCGGTCCCTCCGGGTTTTCTCGAAAACCCCATTTGCACAAAACCTGTGTCCGCAGCCGGCTTCAGCCTAGATCAGGGGCTGGATGGGGATTCACTGTGAATCCAGCCAACAGCATCATGTCAATATTAAACCGCCGTGTATTTTTCAAGACCCCATCCCACTGAGGATGTTCCCCTGGCTGCAGCATCTAACAGCCACGCGCCTTGTCATCTTGCTGGCTGTCCTCCCCTGTACGCATCACTGCCCCCAGTTCGCCCCCAGTTTGCCCCCCCAAAAGCCCACGTGCATTGTGTTCTTCTTCTTTCTCATTTTTTTTTATTGTGGTAAAATCCACGTAACATAAAATTTACCATTTTGACCATGCTTCAAACGTACAGTTCATACATTGTTGTGCAAACATCGCCACCATCTGTCCACAGAACTCTCTGCGTCTTGCAAAACTTCAACTTCATGCCCATTAAATGCGAACAGCATTCCCCCTCCTCCACCGCACTGCCCCCATCAGCACCTTTCTACTCTCTGTCCCTATGAACAGGACTGCTCCAGGCACCCCATATCAGTGGGGCCACAAAATATTCGTCCTTTTGAGACTGGCTCTGTTCATGGAGTAGGATGTCCTCAAGTCTCATCCATGTTGTAGGAATTTCCCCTCACATTTAATATTTTTTTCAGACCCACCAGCCCCTCAAGCCCCATTCCTAGAGTCTCCAGCCCCACGTTGGCCTATCCAGTCCCATCAAGGGGCTGACCTAGAAGTCTGTTCATGGAATGGTCCTTGAGCTCTGCCCCCCGCCCCACCCCCACCCGCTGCGGTGGTGGCTAGAACAGTCTCTCCCTCCTCCATAAGGAATGATTTTTAATAATCCACACAGTAAAAAATCCTGGAAGATATCTGCTTCTAGAATAAACCATACTTGTTGGCACAAACAAACAAAAAAACTTGGCTCTTCTGGTCATCTTTCCACGTCCCCTTTGATTGCTCAGGAAGTATGGCCGACCCATTAACATTTACAGCTGCCAGTTCTTGTCAGTTTCTTATTCCAAAGGCTGCTGAGCCAGTCCTGCAGATAGATTGATTTCCCTTTTGCAACTCCCTGCAAACTGCTTGTGTCACTGCCTGGCCTTTGCACCCATTGTCAGTGCGCTTAAAGACAGGATGTTCTGGGCCTGGCTTCTTACTCATATGTTTTGAGGAGAGATGGCAAACAGATCTTTCTTCACAGCCCCGCGGTCTATCGGGAGGAAGAAAGGCAAAGAGACTGAGCAAGCATGCACACATAAGGACAGCGTGGAAAAGAGCCCTGTGATACACACCCATGGGACACTGCCATCGTGCAGACATGTGGACGGTCGAGCTAGGCCTGCACAGATGACCTGACCTCGTTCAGCACTCACGATAACCTGTAAGGCAGGTGTCCTCACCTACATCTTAGAGGTGGGAAATCCAAGGCTTAGAGGAAAAGTAACATGTTGAAGTTCACATGGCTAGTAAACAGTGGCTCGAATCCAGGGCTGTTGGGCTTCTCAGTCAGTGCTCCCCTGCCACCTTACCAGCCACTCTCCCCACCCCCAGCCTGCTTGTCTCTCATTTCCAGCCACTCACCCCACTTCCCCACCTCCTGCTTCCTCTTCCCCCATCTCTCAGATCAGAGAGCATGTCAGGGTTTCCTCTCACTCACTCTCTGACTCTCTTCAAAGCCCCTCATCAGGCCCCCATCCTCTTCCTAGGTTTTAAGGGAATTATTGCTAAATCCCAGGGAGATAGCCAGCTGGGGGCACTTGAAGATTCCAGACCTGTACACGGGTCAGAGTTGTCACTGGCCTTCTCAGGAAATGTGAGTGGCGTCCAGCCTGCCTTCCTCGTCACCTGCCCCAGGCCACCTGTGCCCTCAGATCCTATGTGGGTTGGAGGTCAGACTGGTTCCTGGGCTGTGGCCCCTAAAGGCCGTGCGGTCTCTATGCTTTGCTTAGCAGTGTCCCCTGGTGACAGTGGCTGGACACCCATTTGGCCGTCATGGCCACCTCTAGGTCACTCTTAAGTTTCTACTGGCTCCAGACCTTGAAATTTCTCCCTACCTTCTGCCTGCCTGCCTGAAGCATGAGGACAGATTTTTCCTTCCAATCTTCTCCCAGATGGCTCTGGGTCCTTCTTGGGATCCAGTCTCCTTAGGCACTGTGGTAGCCATTGTTTGGGGTTGTCCAGGATGTCCCCCATCCTCCTTCCAGGGTGGGCCTGAACCTAGCTCCATCCAAATCACAGCACCCCATCCCTGGGCACAGTGACTGGTTCTGGGGTAGGATAAGCATGTGACCCAAGCTGAGCCAATCACAGATTCGGACTTGGCCAATCCTTGGACTTGGCCAATCGTTGGGCTTGAGGTGGAGGGAGGGGAATATTGGCCTTTACGAAGATGCCATCATTGGTCATCATCATTCCGAGGGGACAAAGCATCAGTCATACCTGTAGCCCCTGACTGTCCCCCATGCCTCCTTATTATATGTGTCCCTAAAATTACTTCTTACAGTTGATTTGTATGCATTTTTAACATAACACTTAGCACCTTACCCATTGTCAAGAGTCCAGTTCCCTGCTCATACATGCACACTGTGCAAACTTCACCACATACACCCACAGAACGCTCATGTCAGACACGAAGATGGCAGAGTTGGGCTAGAATCTGTGTCTTCTGCCTCCCAAACCAGTGTTCTGTCCCCTATATCCTCCTGACCACTTAGCAAGACAATCAGCTGAGATGATACCAGAAGGTCCCTCGAATGTGCTAGGCCCGTTGGGAGCATCATTAGGAATGCCAGAATCCTGCCAAGTAGACAGCAAAGTCAAAAATTTCTGGTAGGGTCATCCATTTGGATGCTTAAGACTTTTTGAAGTGTTTTGAGAGTAGATGGTGTAAACCAAAATTTAGAATATTTGGGCTGTCATCCTATTACACCATGGAAAAGACTAAAACCTGAACAACCTTTCTGGATCAACCTATCCCACTTGGCTTAATTGGGAAATGTACGTCAAGGGCCCTCAGAATGTGGTTTTGGTACATTTTTCACTCAGATGCACTTCTGGAAACCAGGAGTTTCCTAAGAAAAACCAGGTAAGCCGAAATCGATTTACCTTCCATCATTTTTTATGATACCAAAATTTAGAAACAATGTCAATTTACAGTACTAGAGGATATGATTAAATAAGTGATTATCTAGCCATATGATGGGGTAGATGGGGTAGATTGAGAATGAAGACACATCTCTACATATTTCAGGTTGGAAAGATGTCCTCCTCCTCCTCCTCCTCTTCCTCCTCCTCCTTCTTTCTTCTTCTTTTTTAAAGATTCTATTTATTTATTTGAGAGACAGACAAGCCAGGGAGAAGCAGACTCTCCACTGAGTGGGGAGCCCGATGCGGGACTTGATCCGAAGACCCTGAGATCATGACCTAAGTTGAAGGCAGACACTTAACCACCTGAGCCACCAGGGACCCCAAGATGACCTTCTTCTTTTGTTGCAGGGCCAGAGCGGGAGGGAAGCAAGTTTCTGATGGCATGCATTGTAACGCCCAGGTGTGTGTGCGTGTGCAAGTGTGTACATCCGTGCACAGATCTGCATATGTCTAGAAGGATAACTAAACGGTTAACAGAGGCTACTGCTAAGTAGAAAAATGGATTTTCTTTTCTCATTAGGTTTTTAGATTCATTTTCAATAACAAGTTTGTAATTTCTTGTGTAAATTTTTTAAAGAAAAAGACTTGAAGTGTAGGCCCTGGGATTTCCTAGACAGTAGGAGCTGGGTCTCTGCCTGCCCCTTCTCTTCCCCACACCCTCAAACCGGGGCACACCTCTGCCTTCCCCCAAGCTCTCTAGCACCTGAAGTGAGGGAGGGAGCAGATACTTCTCAGAACATCCCTTGGGAGTCTCGATCAGATGATGCAGAATGCCCACCACCTGCGTGTC